TCCCAAGAAGTACAACTATTGTTAAAACGTATTACTTGGTATTCTGCTAATGTTACTCGAATTCCTTTCATACTTGTGTGATCGAAAGGAGTAAGAAGTTTAACCTCCTCCTACTCCATAAAATTCCTTTGCACACCCACTGTTATTGTACGAAAATTTTGGTTACCATGGCATCTTAACTTCAACAATCTTTAGACTCAATAACCATGTCACTATCGCAACTGCTTTTAGTGTTACTATGGTTGAATAGCCTAAGTCGCCTTTTGCAAATTATTTCCCAAGTGAAAATTAAGTTTGACGTCAACATCGAAAGTTCAAAAATGTCATATTTTACTAAAATATATCATAATAATAAAGAGAAATTTTTAAAGGCAACACCAATCTTTTAACGCTCTTAGAAACGTACGATCCTCTTTCAAACTAAGCTCCATATATATAATTCATTGAACACCTTTTCACTAATTCGTATCAGATCGAAAAGCTGTTAATTGAATCCAGTGCTACTACCAATTGATGATTCAGCGTAATGAAGTGGTATATTATACAATTTGGTTAAAAAGTTCTGAATGAATAGGCCAGGTAAACTATATACTATCATCGATAATTATTTTCCTGCGATTTTGACCTTAATTTGATATCTCCATTGAACTGTGCCTAATTATAAGTTTTATAGTCATTATAACGTTGACATTTTTGACTAGCAATAATCTATTTATGACATGCAGGGGGTGTGAGATAGATTTATCTCCACGTGGTGCACCCTGGGCGACGTATTGTCATACAGAAAAGGTCTATTAACCGTCACTTGACTTCTCACTTCAAACTACCATCACTCCACTATAATACATGTCTGACCACTCCCACAGTACTCACCTCACCTTTTTCTACCTCCATGTCTGTCTCTTTTACATCTTTGAACACTCGTCTGTTCTCCCACCCTCTCGACTTTTTTCACTTGGAAGTTCATCCCCTTCTGTGGAGCCTGAAGTTGACAAAAGAGCTAATGAAAACTATCAAATCGCCTACCATTGGATATAAATAAACAAATTTATGACAAGCGTGTTATAGTAATCTTATATATATATATATATATATATATATATATATATATATTTATTTATTTATTTATTTATTTATATATATATATATATATATATAACGGAATAAAGAGTTTACTAAGAAATATAGATTCAGGTAGTCGGAGAATTATTTATTTATTTATTTATTGAGGTAATTGGGGGAAACTGGGATGACTCTGACGACAGGTACGTCCTGACTATTGAACTTGAGAAAAAGGGCCGAAAGCCATCTAAAACAACGAAGCCCGAGCGTCTAAACAGTACGACTCCATCCAAGACAAAACCGGAGAAACGAAACTCAAATTGGTCTATTCCTGAGGTAAGATGATCTTAGAAATGCTCTCACTGCATTCAGATTTGCTACAAGAAACAATATTTGCTTTGAGTGAATCAGTTTATTGATCCTTGTTACCTCACAATGTCTATTTTATGTTGTCAAATCTAGTCTCAAACTAGAATGAAGTATATTTCTATAAGCATATTGAATAGTTGATTCTTCAAACTTTAGGGACATGAAGTGGAAACCGAAGTTCCTCAAGCAAGGAATCAAAAGGCCGCACCAATCGAACTGAAGAAGGAAGAGAAGCCGCCGGAGAAAGTTGAAAATCCCTATTTTGAAACTGAAGAATATAAGGTAAGTTGATTAGTATTGCATTGTCAAATGCCACATTTTTATTGTTATAACCTAGGAACCTACTTGAAATTAATAGGCTACTGTTGACTCAGAACCGAAAACGGCGAAACCAATTATTTAATGACCTCGTGCTATCTTATTTTCTAAAAATATTTATGGAAGTAAGCTATTCTACAAAATTTCCAAAATATCACATACACTTGGAGAATATTGTTTGTTATTATTATTATTATCGTTATTAATATGGCCTTAATTGTGTTATCAATGAAGACAATTTAAACAATAGATTCGATTTCTTTTTAGTGTGAAGGAACGTTGAGACCAGCACCAAACTTTGACTGTAATGCCGACTGCCAAAGCCTCCGAAAAGCCATGAAAGGGCTGGGCACAGATGAAAAGGCGATAATCAGCGTTCTGGCTCGTCGGTCAATAAGTCAACGCCTGGACATTGTCAAGCAATTCAAGACTCTATTTGGTCTCGATCTAATAGATGAATTAGACAGTGAAATAAGTGGAAAATTTTTCAAGGTGTGTCGCGCTCTCTGCCTTGAGCCAGAGGTTTTTGATGCCGAAGAACTGAGGGAAGCTGTAGAAGGAATTGGAACTGACGAGGACTGTCTTATCGAAATTATCTGTTGTCGAACAAATAAACAAATACTGAAAATCAAGGAAACTTACAGAAAACGTAATTGCCTTTTCACTCATATTTACACTTACAGTTATTTTGCTATAGATCCTTTAAGTTTATATCTAGAAAAGAATTTGAATGCCGATACCTATAGATCACATCAAGAATTAAACATGCACTGATGAGTCGATGGAATTTGAGGTCTCTTAATAAATTGTCTTCGTCTCCCTCTCTTATTGATGCCTATTTCCAACACCTCTATGGGGAATTATGATTGGTTAGAAGGTGCCTAAATCTCCCTGTTTTTATGCATTCGCTTATTGCTTATAAATTTCAAAAAAACTAAGTGAACTTGGCCTTGGAGCAGACGGATTTTAGAAATGCAAATTCAGAATATGCTTCACAGTAATTCATCATTTTCAAAAAATATTTTCTGTCGAATCCATTCGTGCTTACGCTGCCTGCATATTCGTTGTAAATAATTATTCTAACTGATTGGTGGTGCGCAATAGACTTACCCCCAAGTGATATACCCTGAGTAACGTATAATCATTCGACAAAAAATTCTATTAACCAGCAGTTGACTTCTGACTTCAAACTACCATCACCCCACTGTACAGTTGACTTCTCACTTCAAACTACCATGACCCCACTGTACGGTAGTTGACTTCTGACTTCAAAGACAAAAAAGTCTATTGATCGGCAGTTGACTTCTGACTTGCAAAAAGTCTATTGATCGGCAGTTGACTTCTGACTTCAAACTACCATCACCCCACTCTATATCATATTCGACTATTTTTACAGTACTCACCTCACCTTTGTCCATATTCGACCATTTCACAGTACTCACCTCACCTTTTTTCTTAAATTCGACCACTTCAACAGTACTCATCTTACCTTTTCTCTTCATTCGACTCCTTCCACAGTACTTATCTTACCTTTTCCCTGCCTTTGCGCCTGTCACTTTACATCTATGAATCCTTATTCTGTCCCCCCTCTCGACCTTTTTGTCACTTTGATATTTCTCCTCCTCTCTGTGAAGTCTGAATTCAGTTAAAATGCTAACGATGACTATCGAAACGTCCCACCATTTGAGGTATGTAAATAAAGTCTTACTGAAAGTCCCAGTATTATTCGTTTTACAGAGAATGGCATAAGAGCAAAAAATTCCTTTAACGGCCCTTCTATACATGCGGTTGGCGAACGCTCATTTTCTAGTTTTGTTACCTAAAACCCCATAAAAGTATCTTTCGTCGTTGTCATTCATTCGAGCTTGTATGGATGCTTGAAATAGCTATCCCCCCCCAAAGTGTGTTCACGTTGACTTTGTTCTCTTTCTATTAGAAGCCATATATTACCGGGCGTTCCCAGCGCCTTTTCAAATACTTCTTAAATTTAAAAATTTTAGAACGAAAACGTCTTCCATTTTAACACAACCTGTCTAGAGTATGGGGTAAATCATTTTAATTATCATAAAACTTTGGGATTAGCCGTTAATTCGATGATAATTGAAGGATGAGTAGAAATAAGATAGTAATTTTGTCAATTTAATTTTTTAAATCATATTTCAGTTTGACAGTCATCACCCCGCAGGGCATTCTTGTTGTAGTTCCTCATATTTTTTGAGTAGCAGATGATTGATGTAAGTTCTGTCTGCTTCTTCCCATTAACAATGCCATTGGAGATTCTCCATTAAGTTTTGGATGACTGACGTTCCAAAAGGTCACAAGAATACACTTCTGGCTTTCTGTCATTTCGCCCGATCCTTTTTGGCAGAACTTGTTCCTTTCATTTCTATTGATTTTTATGCGTTCGAGTCTGTTGTCTGGATCAACAAACTGTGTTTACAACTGATTTCAGGGTAAGATCTCCATGTTCTGCCATTTCTGACAACTTCCATTGTCCATTCAGATTTTGATTCGTTGACTATTGCAGAGAATAGTTCAGAATGCTGGGTCATTATATGATCCCTCTTCCTGCTCATGTGAGTCTTCAGGCAGATTTTCGTTCAAGTCGGCCATTAACTCTGTCACTTGACTGACCATTCGCTTAAATTTCTGACTGACGCTCTACATACTTACTCCTTATGTTCTAGTTTCTCCTGTAGAATTTATTAGGACAAAATCAGATAAAGTGGAAATAATTACAAGCAAGCATTAACCTTAAGT